CCCCCCAACCCCCCCCGCTTCTTTTAAGCCGTACCAAGCGTGCTTCAAAGCCCAAGAAACGAAGGAAATGACAGGATATCTGTCCAAAATGTAAGTAAAATAGGGTTTCCCCTAGGAAAAACCAAGGAAAACCTAAGGGAAATTACAGGAAATCCGTCCGAAATGTAAAAAAATAGGTTTTTCCCTATGAAAAACCAACGAAAACCTAAGGGAAATGACAGAAAATCCGTCCAAAATGTAAGGAAAGTAGGGTTTTTCCTAGAGAAAACCAAGAAAATCGACCAAAAAAAAAATGCCCCCCCAAAAAAAAAAAGACCCAAAAAAAAACTCCACCCTTTTTTTAAGGCTCGGGGTTCGGTTTAGCAGTTAGGGTTTGGGGTTTAGGGTTTAGGGTTTGGGGTTTAGGGTTTAGGGTTTAGGTTTGGGGTTTAGGGTTTAGGGTTTAGGGTTTAGGGTTGTGCATGGCCGTTTCATGGGAGGCCTTGAGGCCATATTGAAGGCCACGCTTTTCCCACCAAAGTCGAGCCAATTGAGTCAAAGAATGCGACAAGGAAAATGAGGTCCAGATGTGAAGTTCGCAAACATCATTCGCTCTGAGTGTCAGTTCGTGTTGAAGTTGTTCTTGATAAGCCAATACTACAGGAAGAACCCTTGTCATTCACAGGATACTGGCTGGGTATGTCAGTGGTACCCTTTACCCTTATTACTTATAAAGTAACCAACACAAAAGAGGTGCCCTTATTATAATATGGTTACTGGGGTACCAAGCTGGAGATCCCAGGATATGAGAGGCTTTGCACACTTAGCCAGATCCAAACACCTGGGAATCGCTCAGGCCTAAACCCTATATTATTACTAGCCCTAAACCCTAACCCCAAACCCCAAAACCCTAGACCCTAAACCCCTAAACCCTAGGACCTTCCTCGATCGACGCCGCCATCGCCCAAGTCGAGGAAGCAGAGCTTAGCGCCATGATGGGACTCTTGGACTCCCAGTGGGTCAAGAGTTTAGGGTTTAGGGTTTAGGGCTTAGGGCTTAGGGCTTCGGGTTTAGGGTTTCTCGCCGCGCCGCGGCAGTAGATTTCATGCGGAGATGGCGCCCCAACACCCACCACAACCAGAAAGGTTGGGTTGTTCTATTTTCCCGCCCCCTGCTTCCGCAGGCATCCACCCAACTTTTCTCCTGTTAGGGTTTCGGGCTAACGCCTTAAATTCCCACTTCCCACCCCCGTCCTTTAAATAGAGGGTTTAGTGAGTTTGGTAGGAGATTAACTAGACCAGAGGGTCTGTGGTCCACAAGCGTCCCCCTAATCCGTCCCCCTAATCCTATCGAATATCCCCTAAGGACTGCTGGCCCTTCTGGAGCAAAACAGCTCGGGGTTGCGTGCCAACGCATCGCTGGGAGTTCTGGGGCAGGCCGAGGCTTCTCTAACATTAGGGTTTAGGGTTTAGGGTTTAGGGTTCAGGGTTTAGGGTTTAGGGTTTAGGGTTTCGGCTTTCCCCCTGTTTGGGAGGTCTTCTCACGGGCTTAGGGGGCTTCTTTTTGGCGTGTCCTTCGTCAGGAGATTCCGCTGTGCTTGGAGTGGTAACCCTAACCCTAAACCCTAAACCAACAAAGCCCTTAACCCCTTAAACCCTAAACCCTACCCTAAACCCTAAACCCCTAAACCCCTAAACCGTAAACCCACAGGTCTCACAGGAGGATGCCGCAGCTGCGGTCAGCGTTTGGGCTCCTTCCTTCTCCAACAGCTGAACTTTATAATCTTTTTGGGCTTCCTTGCTTCGTAGGAATACCCCTAAACCCTAAACCCTAAACCCTAAACCCTTTTTTTCCCTGGGTTATTGGAGAAGTAAGGCCCTCACCCCGATGGCTGGAGAGACTCTGAGCCTGGAGGCAGCCAGCTTTGGCTTGCTGGCGCCAAGGTCGGCACTTGGAACTTGGGGTTTAAGGTTTAGGGTTTAGGGTTTAGGGTTCAGGGTTCAGGGTTTGGGGTTTGGGGTTTGGGGTTTGGGGCTTTTGGTTTGCAAGAACTGTTCAAGCCCTCAATCTCAAGATCTTGTAAGAGTCAATTGTTCCATGGGCCCAAACTTCCTGCAACTAGACCTGTAGAAGTTTACATTCCTAATCCCCGCCCCCAAACCCTGAACCCTAAACCCTAATCCCCGTCCCGAGGCCCCCCCCCTCCCCCCCCCCCAACCAAAAAAGAAATCAAGCACCGGGGCACCGAGGTGCCGGCAGAGGTTGTGGCACAGGCTGCGCAGCTCGCTGGAGAGCTTAGCTTGGAGAACTGGACGGAGATGGTCTTTCTGACCGTCAGCTTTGCTGCAACTCAGGTCATGAGCAGGTAGGCTTTAACTCCTTTTTTTTGGGGGGGGGCGGGTGGGGGGGGGCGGGGGGGGGGGGGGGGGGGCGGGGGGGGGTGGGGGGGGGGGGTGGGGGGGGGGGGGCTGGGGGGGGGGGGGCGGGGGGGGGCGGGGGGGGCGGGGGGGGGGGGCGGGGGGGGGGGGGGGGGGGGGGGGGGGGGTGGGGGGGGGGGCGGGGGGGGGGGGGCGGCGGGGGGGAAGGGGGGGGTATTCTTCAGTTTGATTTCGCTTGCAGACTGAACCCTTTCCCTTGAGGGTGGTATTATGTAATCCCCATGTCGCTTACAACGTTTTAATAGGGATTTGGCGACGAGAGACACCTTGTATCCCCTTATATCACCCTTTCAGCGAATATGTAGGGAATCTAACTCCGCACTAGGAACCTTAGAAGTAGATAAGCAAGCATGTACACTGCTGTCCCAGAGAACTCAGCCAGCAAGGATTTCATCTCCAGTTCGCTGAACAGTAGCCGCCAAACTCTGGCAGTTGCTCCACAGAGTGTGAGCTTCCGTGCTTCTGATGGCCAGCGTCTCTCCATTCACCAGCTGGCAAGACCCTTAGTAGCTGAGTGAGCACACTTTACACTTTTTAAGGGATACTATGAATCTCTCTATACACTTTTTGGGGGGGACTTATGAACTCAGCAACTAAGGACCTATGGAGCTGAGATTCCAGGATCTTGGTGGCGACTCCCGGGCGAGGTGCATGTTCTGGGACGAAGAGGCCAGGCTTGGCACAGCATATGGGTCTGTGTTCGAACCGTCAACATCGTGAAAATACGGTATAGGGGTCGGGATAGTTGCTAGTATTGTCCCCTCATGGTCCCCTTATAAATATACTAATATTATCCCCTTATGGTCCCCTTATAAATATACTATAACGATGCCAACCATGGTCGTAGACTGACCGCTGCTGCCCACACGAGTTTTTTGTCTGCCCAATGAGCCCTGCACCCCAACAGCCCTGAACCCCAAACCCCAAACCCCTTAAACCAACAACCCGAAAAACCCGCAAGCCCTTCAACCCTAAACCCCGCATCCCCAACGCTGAGGCGGGGCGGTGGTCCAGGGACGGCATGGAGCGCTCAGAGGAAGAGGGCTTTCAGGAACTGACTTGAGACAGTTTGTGTTTTTGGGTGGGCTATTAATAACCCGATATAGCCCTGCGTGACCTGATCTAACTCTACTACATTTTACCCTAAACCCTAAGCCCTAAACCCTAAACCCTATTCACCTTAGGCTTCGTCTGCCTCACAAGCCACCTGACCATCTTCGGAGCCATTCTGGAGGCGCCGCCTCGTTTGCGCCCTTGGGCTTTTGAGGGTTGAGGGTTGAGGGTTTAGGGTTTAGGGTTTAGGGTTTAGGGCTCTTTGGGGCTTTTAAGGGCCTTAGCCTTAGGCCTTAGGGCCTCGAAGGGTCGAGGGCTTAGGCGGGTTTAGGCCTTAGGGTTTAGGGTTGAGGGCTTGGGGCTTAGGGTATCTGACTTCGGTGTGGGGTGGGAGCGGCCTGCAGGCAGCGGGAAATGCTTTCCGGTGCTCAACAGCCTCCGTGGTTCTCTCTGCAGCAGGAGTCAAGAATCTGGGAACAGTTGAGTGGCTGCCCCGTGCAGCCAGCATCCTGTTCTTCATCTTCCTCGCCCTTTTTGTGCCTCAGCCGTTCGTGTTAGGGGTTTAGGGTCTTGGGTCTCAATGCTACGCGGTGTCAATACCACCAACTTCATGCTTACAGCTGGTTCTTCAGGAGTCGCCTGCGAAATTAACTTTTGAGTATGAGGAGTCTTCACAAAGGGGTCCACAAAACACCTTTCTTGATAAACCCTAACCTCATCTCTAGGCGATCTCCAGGCTACATATCCTTTGTACTGTCCCCGCAAGTTACAGCTGCGTAAAGCATAAAGCCTCAGCACCCTCCAACCCTTAAGGCCCCAAACCGTGAAACGCTTGAACCCTTGAGCCCCGGAACCCTTGAGGGCCCTTAGGGTTTCGGGCTTCGGGTTTAGGGTTTAGGGTTTAGGGTTTGGGGTTTAGGGTTTAGGGTTTAGGGTTTAGGGAACCCCAAAACCCCTAAACCCCTAAACATGAGGCCAGAAGTCTCTGCCGAGGCTGCTGTTTTGACTTGGGCTTGGTACCTTGACAGACGGACAATGCGAGAGATCGCAAAGGAAGAGGCCAGTGTTTGGGGTTCAGGGTTTTTGGGCGGGTTTGGGGTTTTTGGGGTTTAGGGTTTAGGGTTTAGGGTTTAGGGTTTAGGGTTTAGGGTTTAGGGTTTAGGGTTTAGGGTTTAGGGTTTAGGGTTTAGGGTTAGGGTTCAGAGCTCAAGGTTCAGAGTTTAGGGTTTAGAACTCCGGTTAAGGTTCGAGGGCTTCTGTCGTCATATGTAGTTTGAAACATGGGGCACATGGTACATGCACATAAGATTGCTCATGTGTCAAGAAATCTGGGCAATGTTCAGTCTCCCCCAAGTAGGGAGCCCTCATACAGTAAACAGGCTAACGATAGCTTGCAAGCGCATGGTCGTGCCTGTAGCAACAGGGCTTTTAGGGTTTAGGATTAGTTAGGGTTTAGGGTTTAGGATTAGTTAGGGTTTAGGGTTAGTTTTTAGGGTTTAGGGCTGTAGGGTTTAGGGGTTTGTATGTTTGTGTTAGAAGCAGTCGTAGCTTCAACCTAAAGCAGCAATGACAACGACATCGTGTTAAGACGCTAACGACGTGAGTCTACATCACCATAGTCCATCTAGCTAGCACTCGATTTGTTCTTGGGCGCGGTTTACTTGTCAACCCCATTCCCCGAAAACAGCGCCTCAACCCAACCCCTAAACTGGATAATCTTCCTACACAGGCTTGATCCCCCGATAGGTGGAGACGGTCGTCATGGTGAGCCACCACCTGAGCGAGGAGTTTCACGCCCCTGAAGCAGGCGGCCAGAAAGGGGCTTCGTGGCGAAGTATTGGAGAGTTCTTGGCCATTGTCATCTTCTTGGTGTTGTCAATGTACTTGTTATTCTTGGGAAAGATTTTTGTTGAATTATTTGATGGTATCGCTTGAGATAACACAGGTTTATGCAGGAGTCTTGAGACGTCTAGGTGTCCGTCTCGGGGGCCGGTTGCGAGACGATGGAGTATAATGTTCAGACAATTGTTGAGAAGCATGCTTCACATTCCCGCGCGGACATACAGAGACCCTAAACCCTAAACCCTAAACCCTGAAACAGACACTGCAATGTATTGCACAAGTAGCTACAGTCAGACTTTGATCCATCACCCAAGTATTCCAAGGGCCGCTACCGGGCTCGCTGCTGCACCTGCCTTGGCAAAGCCCTCGATGGGACAGCGTGGTTGGCGGCACGGCTTCATCTTGCATACCCTAAACCCGAAACCCTACCCCTCCCCACCCCCCCCATCTGCTGCAGCTGTCTGGGATAGCTTGAGCTTAAGTGCAGTGTTCATCTAGCAGTCACCAGATTCGGCACTCGCATCTGTTTTCGCTATGCTCTTTCGCAGGGCGAGCAAAGATCAGTGCTTTGCGTTGTCTTCTTTGCACCCTAAACCCTAAACCCTAAAACCCGAACTCTAAACCCTAAACCCTAAACCCTAAACCCTAAACCCTGAGCGCAGCCTAGGTTGGCACAGTCTTCGAGTGTCAAGCCGCGGATTCAATGACTGAGCTCTTGGACGCAAGAGTTGCAGCAGTCAACCGATGCATTTCAGCCACTTGGTAGCGCAGTGGGTATAGGGTTTAGGCTTCAGGGTTCAGGGTTACCTTTTAGCCCTACCCTTTCCCTTATAAAGTTAGCAACCCCAACAAGGTTAGCCTCATTGCAATGTGATTACTGACCTACCGAGGCCATTCATTCTTACCATACCGGCGCATGCCGACAGAGCATCCAAGCTGTCATGGCATACAGTGGTGAGAAGAAGCTCAGGCGTCCCGAAAGTCAGCTTTGCCGCATGGGCTCTCAAGCTTCAGCCATCGAATCATGGAACATCCATTTCCATGGAATCAAAGCTGTTGAGAAGTTTCTCACAAGCTCGTGGCTGCGTCGCGTAGTTGTTCTGCTACCCTGCATGCACCCCTGGGTGACACTAAGCTTCATCAGTCTCTTCAGATCACACTCAGTGCGAGCGTCGCTCATCGGACTGAAGCTGTTGAGTGCCGCCTTCACGAATGCTTTGTTCTTCACCAGCACTGCGACGGGCAAAGACTCAGATGCTTGGATGGAAACACCCTAGACCCTCAACCCCAGTTGTTTTGGGGCGTTTACTTTGTGATTGTTCTTTGGGCAGCTCAAATATTCATGGAAGGATGACGAGTGCGCAGCGCCACAGACTACGGAAGAGAAACTGCTTCAGGCCGCTGTCGTGGGTTTCTTCTCCGCCTGCATGGGAGATGCTTGGTGGCCCAGGTTTGGGGTTTAGGTTTAGGGTCTAGGGTTTAGGGTTTAGGGTTTAGGGTGCCCTTTTGCCCCCTTTTTTGGGGTTCAAGGTTCCCTCATACAGCAACCAACCCCCAAAAGGGATTATGGTTACTGGGCTACCCAGGATGTGCTAATTGTTGTTCTGGCCCTCGTTCAGCAGCGCCGTGTTGTGGTTCGTGAACACTGGACTGCCGAGATGAAGTCCAGGCAGTTGAGTCGGTGGCGCTTGCGGCGGCGTTTGTTTTGGCTTTGCTGGCTCGTGCTGGCCGTCTTTTCGGCGTTCTACGTGTTGACCTTTCTCGCGAACGTAAGCGCGGCGGATGCCGCCAAGTGGCTTGAAAGCACTGGCATGAGCCTGTTGCAAGATGTGGTCTTGAAGCCCTTGCTTCTTGCCCTTGGGTATGCTACGTTGACAACCTTGGTGTTGTGCTGCAGCCCGCGTGTCAAAGACACGATCTTAAACCAGTGGATACAAGCTGATGATGACCTGCAGTGTGACCCAGACGTGACCAATCGTGACGACAAGCCAGGCAGTGTCAATGAGGGTGAGCATGAGTCCTCCCCCTCTGTTTTTGAGCGACAGCGAGAGGTGGTGCACTGCGTTTACCTTGATGAGGATGAACATGGGTCCTCCCAATCTGTCTGCGAGCGAGAGGTTGTGAGTGCCGTGATTTAAGTTACTTGGTAGCCAAGTGGTGCCCTCTTGGGGTTCTGGTTCCCTTATAAAGTAACCAACCCAAAAAAAAGTCTGCCCTTATTATAATATGGTTCCTTGGGCTACTAAGGTCAGCAAGCTAACAGCTTCAACGACAGACCCTAAACCCTAAACCCTAAACCCTAAACCCTAAACCCTAAACCCTAAACCCAAGTTTCACAGTAGCTCCTGGTGACGTTTTCACACTTGGGCAGCCGTGGTCGCTAACCGGGCTCCATCCTCGGCCCCTACTGTGCTTCGGCCCTAAACCCTAAACCCTAAACCCTAAACCCTAAACCCTAAACCCTAAACCTCAAACCCTAAACCCTAAACCCTAAACACTAAACCCTAAACCCTCAACACCAAGTTCGCCTTGTTGTCGCCCCAAGCCCAAAAAAACCGCAAAGCTACAAAGAATGTTCACCACAGGCTGTCGTGTCACCAGGATATCCTCTAGACCCTAGACTCCTAATGATTTTCCAGGTGGCTGCGGATTTTGAAGGGGGCCCAGCCAGAAGAATGCGACCGTCCATGGGTGTGATGTAGTAGGAATAGCCTAAAGGGCCATGACTGTAGAGTCCTAAACCCTAAGCCCTAAACCCTAAACCCTAAACCTTAAACCCTAAACCATAAACCCTAAACCCTCCACCGCCCGGCGGACGCGCTGGCCTTCTTCTCGCGTGTATAGAACCGAAGCCGCCAGGCTCTTGACAGCCACTTTCCATCCTTTCCCAAGGTAGTGAAGCCGCTCTGGGTAGCCCGGTTTGTTCTTTTTTTGCAGTTCTGGGTTCGCTTATAAAGCAACCGACAAAAAAGTGCCCTTATTTCAATATGGTTCCTGGGCTACCAAGAAGGTAGTTACGCCACTTGGCTGGACGCAGATCTCTGACAAAGATGTGTCAAAACTATCCAGCAAGACACAAGCAGGACTGGAGCAAGCTAGAACGTCCAAAAACCCCTAACATTAAAACCCCTAATTCCCCAAGCCCTAGATTGTGCACCGACCCCCCCCCCCCCGCGTTTTAAGGTTTTTGGGGGTGTAAGGGAAGCGAGGGGGAGGGTTCCCTCCCCCAAAACCATCCAACACGCCGCCGGGTCGGCGGACTCCTAAACCCTAAACCCTAAACCCTAAACCCTAAACCCTAAACCCTAAACCCTAAACCCTAAGCCCTAAACTCCTAAGCCCTAAACTCCTAAACCCTAAGCCCTGAATCACGCACGCAAGTCAAGTGAATCGACGCGCGGGAAGTCTAGACCCGAAGCTAGCCCTCAGCTCCGAAACCCTAAACCCTAAACCCTAAACCCTAGGGCCTTCAAGCCGAAGCCTCAGGAGCCTTAGCCGTAGCCTAGGCTTTGAGGGTTTAAAGATTTGTAGGGGGTTTAGGGTTTAGGGTTTAGGGTTTGGGGTTTAGGGTTTAGGGTTTCGGGTGCAGATTTTCGCCCTCGCATCTGTAAGGTGTTTTCAATGGAAATGTGGGGAGCTACCTATTGGTCTTTTTGGGTTTCGGGTTTAGGGTTTAGGGCTCCCTAAACCCTAAACCCTAAACCCTAAAATATAAGTCGGACCACCCGGCTGCTTCATGGCACAAGGTTGAGAAACGACAGCGGCAATTCTCACCGTCGGACCGCTTGCAAAAACCTGTAGGTCGGTAGCACTCGGGAAATCCGGTTTTCATTTTTTCATAAAGCAAAATCCCCCCGGATGCTCGGAAGGTCACTTCAAAACTTCAACCCTTAAAGCCATCTAAGTTTGGTTGCGAGTCTTGGGCTTTGTGTCGAACTCTCTGTTTCAGTATGCCATCGGCTTTCTCTGATCGGAAAAGTGCCGACCATGACATCGCCCTGGTTTAGGGTTTAGGGTTTAGGTTTAGGGTTTAGGGTTTAGGGTTTAGGGTTATGGGCGCAGGGTTTAGGGTGTCAGGGTTCATATTGGTCTCGGGAAGACATTTTGGGGCGCCTGTCGCGGAGTTACTAAGGACTTCGGGAAACTACCCATGAAGGGCAACTTCCAGGTTACCGAAGGTCTAAACCGAGCTGTCAACAGCTAGCTAGCAGGGTCTATTCAAGCACGGGAGGTAACCCTAAGCCCTAAACCCTAAACCCCTCAACATCATGGTGACATCCCTGAGTGATAGTTTATGCTGATACTGTAGCCAGTTTGGCTCAAGTGGCGCGGCGCATCGCTGCAATATACCCTATAAACCCTATAGATGCCCCAAACCCTGATAAATTTCAACCACCTCTCCGTGCCCTATTGCCCCTCTACCCTAAACCCTAAACCCTAAAATCTAAACCCTAGTCGAAGCGATTGGCGCCCTTGAGCAGTTTGACCACGGCCATGTTTGTGCTAGCATTCCCGTGGCTCCTGGCAGCGTTGTTTGGAAAATGCTCTACTACTCGTGTACCTGGGCTTTGGAGTACTATACTTTAATATTTTTTTGGGTTCTGGGTTCCTTTTGTAATAGCTACTTGTACCCAAAAAGTATATACTTCTTTTTCCAATGTCTACTCCAAAGTAGAGGTACTACAAGCCTCGGATGTACTACTCAACTCCGACAGCGAGGAGCAGAACAACCCCTTGGTCCGGCCTTTCCAGCGCACAGCCACGCAAGCCGTGACGGAGTTCGTGGCAGCAACTTAGGGATGCGTGGAAATCAACTTTTTCTTTTTGGGTACTAGAATTACTAAGAAGCAGCTAAGATCATAGGGTTTAGGGTTTAGGGTTTAGGGTTTAGGGTTTAGGGTTTAGGGTTTTAGGGTTTTAGGGTTTAGGGTTCCAAGTTCAGTACAGGCAAGATGGGCGCAGGTTGAGAGCAGGCTTCCCGTCGCGGCCCAGAACTTGTTCCGCCGCCAGGCGATTTCGCAGGTCCCAGAGGCGGCAGAACTCACAGCCAGGTTGCTGGGTGCTTGTTTAGGAGGGTTTAGGGTTTTTAGGGGTTTAGGGTTTAGGGTTTAGGGTTTAGGGTTTATTATAGGTTTAGGGTTTAGGGTTTAGGGTTTAGGGTTTAGGGTTTAGGGTTTAGGAACATGTGCGCAAGTAGAACCCTGTTATGGTACCTTACAGCATAAGCCCAAATACCCTCAGCCCTAAACCCTAAAACCTAAACCCTAAACCTTAAACCCTAAACCCTAAACCGGGGAACGGGGGGTGGTAGGGCAACCAGAACCGAGGATGGTCAAACCCAACCTCCACTGGGTACCGAAGATGCCGAAGACCCAGCCGGTGCCTCTCGGAATCGGCAGAGCCACGGGTGCCGCAGGTGGGGTAGGGTTTAGGGTTTAGGAATTAGGGTTTAGTTAGGGTTTAGGGTTTCGGGTTTAGGGTGTAGGGTTTAGGGCCTAGGGGGAGGGAGTTCGTTAAGGCGGGGGTTGTTAAGGGGGTGATAGAACAAGAGTTTCGGATATGGTGCTTGGGGTTTAGGGTTCGGGTTTTTTAGAGTTTAGTGGCTTAGGGCTCAGGACTTTGGGGTATAGGGTTTATAGGGCTTCCCTTGCAAGAATATCCGGCCCTGAACATTTGGGATCGCTTGCAGCAAGGTGCCCTCCGCCCTAAGAAGTACTCGCGTGCCCTGGTTTTGGAGAGTCCCCAGGTGCAGATGTCGGTGGCAACGCGGTCTTTCGCGCCCCGTTCGTGCGAGCATTTCGTGCCTTGGAAAGGGCGCAGCGTCTGGGGAGGCAGCGCTGCATCAAAACCTAAATTTTTCGGTTCTCAAGGAGGGTTCAAGGGGGGTATGTAACCCCAGTCTCCCTAATACTCCCCACTCTTCCGCAAGGCTGCTAAGCTTCCTTAATTAAGGTTCCCCAGGTACTTACCCCCATGAACCCCCCTCCCTTAATGTTGAGTGCACCATTTACTTGAAGAGCACGGAATGTGTGCGTGTTGTGTGAATGCATTTAGGTTCCTATAGGAGCAAGGGGCCGAAGAGCCAAAATCCGGCATGGCAGCAGTGAAGCGTCCGTGGCAACAAACGATGGTCCAGGACATGAGCCGCTGGCAGTATAGGAAGTACATGCGAGCCCTCCGACGTACCTCTGAACAGTCTCATGCAGTCAACTGGGATGCAGTTAGTGATCCTGATGGGGGCCTTGACCTCTCACAGGTTAAGAGCCTTGTTAGCTCAAATGCTGAGCTTCGTTATGTGGAGATGATGTTTGAGTCGCGGCTTATGGCCATCACGGATGAGACTAGCAGGTTGAAAGGCATGGACGGGCGGGCGATGGCAAATGACAAAGTTTTCACCTTGCTTGCTCATGTACCGCAGGAAGTTGACAGACTGGGACAGATACTGGATGGTTGGACAGATGGTTTGCTTGAGGCTGCCAATGATCTGGAAAGCAGGCTTTTGCTTTGGTTATCTCCCGACCGAGAGCTACGCCATTTCTATATCGGGTCCTCTGATGACGAGATTGGGGATGCGGGGGGCGAAAGTTCTAGGCATGATGCGGTTTCTGCGTTTCCGTTTGACTTCGACTACGAGGACCTCGTGTGCCTGACGGATGATTTCGTGACAAGTGACGACCGGGTTATCCGACAGGGCACCCTTGGCAGGGTTCGTGCTGTCTACCGCTATGACGAGATGCCGATGATCGAAGTCCAATTTCCCGGAGAGTTCATATGTCACGGCGTGTCTGACCATGACTTGCGCCTTGTTGAAAAAGCCGAGGCACTGGATGATGTGCGTTTCATGTCAGACACCAATGACTAAGCCATAGAGGTGCGTCAGAGATCGTCGCTCCTGTGGTCAACCCACATCCGCGAAGCGGGGGGTGTTGAGCGCACCATTTACTTGAAGAGCACGGAATGTGTGCGTGTTGTGTGAATGCATTTCGGGTTGCCACACAGGGCCCGAGGTTCCTATAAGAGCAAGGGGCCGAAGAGCCAAAATCCGGCATGGCAGCAATGAAGCGTCCGTGGCAACAAACGATGGTCCAGGACATGAGCCGCTGGCAGTATAGGAAGTACATGCGAGCCCTCCGACGTACCTCTGAACAGTCTCATGCAGTCAACTGGGATGCGGTTAGTGATCCTGATGGGGGCCTTGACCTCTCACACTTAAGAACCCTATACCTAAACTACGCGATAAAAGTGTAAAGCCTCTTTAAACTCTAAACTCTAAGCCCTGAACCCTAACGTCCTAGTTCCCGCCAACTTCCCTAAAGTTTAGGGAAGTTGAACCCTAAACCCCAAACCCTAAACCCTAAACCCCAAACCCTAAACCCTAAACCCTAAACGCCAAACCCTAAACCTTAAACCCCAAGAGGTATCGCTACAGCACGGTGCGGCCCATGGGCCGCTCCATCTTTCCCAAGCGCTACGACCTACCGCGGAGCCTCCATCCAGCTTGGCGGAGGTGGGGCTTTGGGGTTTAGGGTTTAGGGTTTTAGGGTTTAGGGTTTAATGTTGACCTAGTAATAATAAACCCCCCCCCCTCCCCCCCCCCCTTCAATCAAACCCCCCCAAATAGAGCGAGGCCCCTTTGAATAAGGATTCCTTTCCTTAGAGAGAATTAGAGAGGATCAGAGAGAATCACTCAGGATTCCTTTCCTTAGAGAGAATTAGAGAGGATCAGAGAGAATCAGAGAGGATCAGAAAGGATCAGAGAGAATCAGAGAGGATCATAGCCCCGATTGGCGTACTTTATTTCCAGGGCTTTATTATTGCGGCCGGGACACCTGGCGTACTTTAATGTTAGGGGCTTTAGTAATACTAGGTTAACATTAGGGCTTGGGGTTTAGGGTTGAGGGTTTATGGCGCTATAGGGTTTAGGATTATAGGGGTTTAGGGGTTTAGGGTTTAGGGCCATAGGGCTTTAGGGCTTGGGGCTATAGGGTTCAGGGTTTAGGGCCAGAGCGTTCGGGTGTTGAGGGTTTAAGTATAGGGTCTTAGGGTTTTCGGAGAACGGCCTTAAGCCCCAGAACCTGCCGTGAAGGTACTTCTCATCGGCCTCATCAGAGACTCGCGCCAAGTTCTTTGGCAGGCACCTGCGAGACATCTTGGCCAGGAAGGACATGAAGGACTGTAGGGAGTAGGGACCTTTATGGGTTTAGGTTATATGAAGTCTGGTTTTTAGTCCTGGTACCTTAAAAAGGACACCAATAATTCGCACTCACCCATTGATTTCAGGAACCATACATACACTCACCAACTAGGACCCAGAGTAGGCCCTTATTCCCTCTTCTTAGGGTTGAGGTCCACCCTTTTATTCCGAGGGAAATCTAAACCCTAAACCCTAATCCCTCAACCCTAAACCCTCAACCCTAAACCCTAAACCCTAAACCCTGTGAGCCTAGCCATGAACACGGGTCTAGTTGGGGACGCAGAGGGTGGCTCCCGATTTCAAAAAGACAATGCCCCAAATGGCATCCGCAAGCCTATGAAATATCTGGGCTTGGCTAGGGATCCCGTTTCGCCCATTTGGGGTTTAGGGTTTAGGGCTAGGGTTTAGGGTTCAGGGCTCAGGGTTTAGGGTTTAGGGCTAGGGTTTAGGGTTTCGGGTTTCGTGTTTCGGGTTTCGGGCTTGGGTTTCCCATCTAGCCGGCTCGAGGAGGCAAAGCTCATGCAGCAAGGCAAGAAGGGCGGCGTCTGCACGCAGCAGCAGAGGGCGGCCTTCGCCTCGCGTTTCGTGCTGGTTCTGAGTAGGGAACTTGGGGTTTAGGGTTTGGGGTTTAGGGTTAAGGGTTGAGGGTATAGGGTTTAAGGTTTAGGGTTTAAGGTTTAGGGTACCCTAATTCCTGAAAGGGTCTGTTTATAGGGGGAGATTCGGTGCCCGTATGTAGTCCCTTCTAAAAGGGCATCCATTGCGGGACATAAGGTACCCTAACTCCCTCCTCATCCCCAAATTCAGAACCAGTAAGGTTTTGGATACAATCCACAAGGAGGGGCCGTGAACAGCCTTTCTTATCAACATCCCAGTTCGAAGTTGACGTCGCTGTACCTGGTCACCAGTGACTTACTCGCTCTTCGGGATTATAAGATACCTTTTGCCATTATAAGGTAACATTTTCTCAGATTCTTCTCTAGCAACCTGTGACCTTAGACCCTACACCCTATCATGTCGGGAACCTTGAGGGTTTAGGGTTTAGGGTTTAGGGATTAGGGTTTAGGGTTTAGGGTTTAGGGTTTAGGAACTCCGATAAGAACTGGCAGAGGTGATCAAGCTGACCACAATGGTGCCTTCAAAGGACTGGATCGTGGCCCAAGTGCACAGAGCTTCGGCACCATGTGCTATCGTCTGCTGCAGATGAGCTCACACTACAGTGTGGTGTTCAAGCGCGTGGACTCTGTGAAGGCCGCAACGGAGTTCGTGCAGTCGTTGAAGTCTGATCATATCTTCGGGCAAGGCATCAAGCATGTGACCATCTCCGGCCATGGCAATCCTACGACGCTGGTCTTGGGCTCTGACCGCTTGCTCAGCGCGCAAGTGGGCATGAAAACTTCGGAGACGAGCAAGCTGTTAGATGCCTTGCGGCCACTGTTGATTGAGCAGGGTGAGGCTAGGTCCACGGTGTTCCTCGAATCATGCTCTACCGGCAAGCAGCCGCAGAACGAGAGACTGAAACCGTTGGCTCAGAACATCGCGGATTCCTTGCCGGGGGTGGAAGTTCATGCTTTCAAGGACTCGATGTACCCGGCCCAGGTGGGGAATGAACCCTACAGGGCCCCAAAAGCGTCAGGGTATGGAATAGGAGACCCTAGCACATTAGCGCCCCCATCAATCCCTCAACCCACAAGCCCTGACCCCTAAAGAGACCTACCTGAACGTGAACCCTCAACCCACACACCTAAAAAATAATCGGAGACAACCCTAAACCCTAAACCCTAAACCCTAAGCCAGGTCAAGTTGCAGGGCAGCTTCTTTGAGGATGCCCTGTTCAAATGCACCGTCGGCTCTCCGAACGGATGCCTCAAGTCAACCACGCTCCTGTGATGGTGTTTAGGGTTTAGGGTTTAGGGTTTAGGGTTTAGGGTTCAGGGTCTAGGGTTTAGGGTTTAGGATTTAGGTTTCAGGGTTTAGATTTTAGGGTTGCAGAAGTTGTACAGGGTTCGTGTCCAGAGTTTGACCGACTGGGGGCAGGTTCTGACCGGGTTTGGGCGGTTTTCTTGTCCTGCTTTTTCCAGACATGGCAGGTTTTCTGGGTACCTTTTGGAGGGCCTTTTGCGGGTTTGTTGCACGTTTCGGAGCTTTTCTGCCATTTGTCTAATGCATCGTCGGGGTTACTGGTTTTTGTTGACACTTGGCATAACGCTAAACCCTAAACCCTAAACCCAAAATCAATACTGGTGCAAGGGGGTGTGAAGACGTGCAATTTTGACAGGTCTATCGTGCTGTTTAATGTATTTCTGGGATGCTTCATGTGTAGATGCAGATTTCATCTTAGCTTTGGTTGTACCGTTCTGCCCCAAAAGGTACTGAAAGTCGAAGGTTTGAACTTGAGATTTTCCCCCTTGTACTAACAGGTCCGTAGTACGGGGTACTATAACCCCTAATAATTAAGGGCTGTTAATATAAGGAAGCACATACCCTAAACCCGAAACCCGAAACCCGAAGCCCAAACTTAAACTCTCAAAGGGTCCTGCTGGAAGAGCCCCAGCAGCCGCCGAGGTTCATATCCAAAGCCGTCACTGTGGCAGCGCTCCTCCAGCGATTGGAGGTGCTGGAGAATGTCACCGAAGCCGAGGACGAAGACGAATTCAAGTTCCTAGGACCAAGAGTAGGCCCTTATTTCTCTTTTTGCAGGGTTAGGTTCCTTTAAAAAAGCCCCTTAAAGCCAAAAAAAGGGCACCCTTCTTATTCCTAGGTCCTTCTTGGGCCTAGGTTCTATGATGGCGTCACCTTCCTGGCCTCTGTGGAAATGTGCGCCGAGTGGTGTGCCATGGTCGACTACTGCAACAGCCTTGAGTTTACCGAATTCGAAGAGCAGGAAGACTGGATAGACTCAGCTCTGGGCTTGTGTTCGCTTTATGAACGAAAGGAGGCGGATGCCGTAGAGGAGGAGGAGGAGGAAGAGGAGGAGGATTGGGATCCTTATGCAGAGCGCCTGAAGAATTTTACGGTTGACGAAGATGATGTATCCATCATCACTGAGTTTGATGGCCTGGCGCTGGACTAGAGTGTGCGAGATCGCCCTTCCTCGTGTCTCAACCCGAAAGCGGGCTCTTGCCGGACGCTTGATGGAAAGGATCATCCTAAGACCCCTTGGTTTAGTATCCCTAAACGGACCCCAGTAGTAGTTGAAGTTTAAACCCGGAGAGCCGAGACTGAAACCCTAAACCCAAAACCCGAAACCCTAAACCCCAAACCCCAAACCTTAAACCCTAAACCGTGGCTTTGGTCCATGCCGAAGGCCGAAGGCATCTGAAGGGTTTAGGGTTTAGGGTTTCGGGTTTGGGGTTTAGGGTTTATTGTTTAGGGTTTAGGGTCATTGCACCGTCAGCCACCGACATTTTCCCTCCGACCTTGCTCTAGGTTGAGGGCTCAGATTTTCCCAGAGACCTCAGAACCTTCGGGGGTTTCCGAAAACGGGGGGTACCCTTTTCAAGGGGATTCTCTTCTATTTGGGAGCCTAAACCCTAGTAGTAGAGTAGGTATCCTTTGACCTTTTGGGGTAATATAAACCCCTTTTAATCCCAAAAGGTTAACCTTTAGTTCCCCCAGGTTAAAGGACCCTAAACCCTAAACCCTAAACCCTAAACCCTAAACCCTAAACCCTAAACCCTAAACCCTAAACCCTAAACCCTAAACCCCCCCAAACCCTCTCGCAAGCCCGGGGGTGCCCTTTTTGTCATTTTGGGTTGGTTCAAGGTTCCCTAAAAAGCAGCCAACCCTACAAAGGGTTACTTTTGGGATGTACCCCTTAGACTAGCAGTCCTTCATAGGGATCATATTACAACAAGGGGGAACATCCCAAGGTCCCCTTATGCTATATCCCCCTTGGGAATTATTTTTAGTTTATATACAACCCAAGAGGATATTAAACATTTTTCTATTAAGGTTCTAAGGGGAGTATAGTACCATGATGTGGTTCCTGGGCTTGTAAGCTCTGATGGATAAGCCCGGTGTGAGCCCCCCTCGCATGTTGCGAAAGCTCGGGCCTGCCTACATCGATGTGTCTTGGGATGTTCCCACTTTTACTAACAGCCCTTTATAGGGATTGTGATAGGGGGCAATATAATCCCTCTGAAGGACTGTTCGTAGAATGGTGATTATGATAGGGGGGGTACTCTAATCCCTGTATGAAGGACTGCTAGTAGAATAGGGATTGTAATCAGAGGGGGGGGGGTACGATAATCCCTATTGACTAGGATGCCCAGTAGTAGCCTTATTCCCTTTTTGGGGGGTTTAGGTTCCCTTGTAAACCCCTTAAAGCAAAAAAGGGCACCCTTTTTAAGCCTAGGTTACTGGGCAGCCTAGTTGAGGACTGTTAGTATAAGGGGATCCTGGCGCCCTAAACCCTAAACCCTAAATCCTAAATCCTAAACCCTAACCCTAAACCCTAAACCCTCCTCTCTCTTTCCCAAGCGTCAGCTCGTAACCCTAAACCCTACTAAGCTTGCGATGTTGCCCGTTATACAAGCAGTCCTTAGTGAGGATAATAGTACCCCCTATCATAATCCCCATTAAGGACTGTTAGCATAAGGGGGAACATCACAAACCTAAACCCTAAACCCTAAACCCTAAACCCTAAACCCTAAACCCTAAATCCCAAACTATTCCCTTGCACGCCACACGCAGCTGTGGCCTAGAGGCAGGCTCAAAATATGGAATAAAGGGGCATGACATGGCCTGGAACCCTCTTTTGGCAACTTTAGGGTTTAGGGGGTTTAGGGTTTAGGGGGTTTAGGGTTTAGGGTTTAGGGTTTAGGGGATGTGCTGAAGCTTCGAGTCGCAGAACTTGCAGAACTTTCATAAAGGTGTGGGGGGGGGGGTCGCGATGGCTGGCCATGCCGAGATCCCTCAAGTCGTTGCTGAGTGGGATGAAGACGTTCCAGATGAGCTCAACTGCAAGGACTTGGGACAGAAAGACGGCCTTCAGCCACTTGAGATATCTCTTGAGTGCAAGGTCGTCTCCTTCATTTCGAGCCTCGCGCCCATGGGGCCCCACACACTCCGCGCAGCCCGGGCAGGCGCGGTGTTGGGAGGCCGCGGGTCGGTGCTGCGAAGTAAGTGGAAGGCGGAGCCCTTGTATGAGCTGAGTGGCGTAGCCGAGTCCATCGATGAGTTCTGGTGTCACAGCTGGCATGGGTCGACTACATGGAAGATCTGCTGCCTCATCTTCAAGAACGGCACGCCGGCCTTCGTGGTGGCCTCTCTAGTGGCTATCATGCTGGCGTCCCTCTCCTTTCTGGACTTCTTGCCCGGTTGGGACAAGGAGCCATCCTACCCAACTGATGGCTTCACTGGCCAGCATCTAGGAAACATTACGGGGGGAGGAGGTCCTGAATGTGTGCGTTGCACGGTGTTTAGGCGGTTTAGGGCTTAGAGGGTTCATAGGATTTAGAGCTTATCGGATTTTAAGGGTTTGTAGGGTTTATAGGGCTTCTAGGGTTTGCTGGAGGGGAGGGGGGGTGAGGGGTAGTGGAGAATTTGTTTTCGCTTTGCGTGTTGGCATCGACAAGGTATCGCTACAGCCCTTGGGCCTGTTGGGCGGAGCAACGTCGATACTACTGGCGCTGCTCTTCTGGAGAAGCAATGACCGAATCTTTCTGGATCGCGTATGTATTCATCAGGAGAACGCCCAGTTGAAGTTAGAGGGTCTCCTAAACCTGGGGGCATACCTGAAGAGATCCAAATCACTGGTCGTCGTGTGGGATCAGACACTCCCTTCGCGGGCATGGTGTATCTTCGAGATTGCGGCATACTTGAAGAGTCACAACGGCGCAGCCGGGCTCATTATTAAGCCTTCTGTTCTCGCACCAGCTCAGCTACTTCTGGTTCTTCTGGGCGGCCTAGGCTATCTTCTTGAGATTTGCTGTCCAGCAGGTGGGCTCCTCACTGTCTTGAGGTTCGTCGCAGCTGTACCCTGGCATGTCGGTTGGCTCGTTGTTGTCAACTCGTACTGGAGACAGATGATGACGGCAGAGGAGCAGTTGAAGAGCTTCACGTGGGAGGCTACGACATGCTCCTGCTGTGACAAAGGCCACTGCCGGAATGGCGACAGCAGCAAGTGTGACAAGAAGATCCTGGAGGCTTGCATTGCTGAGTGGTTTGGCTCCATGGGCACATTTGAGCAGGTTGTGAGAACCGAGGTGCTTGGCGCCTTTCTGGCTCAGCTTGGTGGCCTTCCATTTGGCCCTTGGTGGCTTCTCGGGCAATCTTGCTACATGTGGTGGGGGGGCCTGGATGTGGCGATTTCCAGAGGTGCCCATCCTTTCATCGCGTTGAGCATGGTTCACGTGGCTGCGCTAGCCTTGTGGGTTTTCCCAGCCCACAACTGCGTTGCAGCAGCAACCCTTCGCTGGCTCCTGCATCAGGAACGGCGGCTCGCATGCGTGCCGGCGTTCACCTGCCTTGGCCTGATGGCATTAGGACACCATGTTTGGTATCGCTGCCTCTACCTCACTTTGCCAGACACTCTTGCCGTAAACCTGACCTTTGCTGCTACGAGCTTTCCCATTTCATGGGGGCTGTTTCACGTATCCCGGCGCTCAGTGAGGCATCGCGGAATGTGATCATTGCCTCATGCGGCTATGGCGGGTGCTTTTGGCTTACCTGAAAGGTACTCAGCCGTGAATCTTTGTCCAGAAGTCGTGATCTATTTTTCTCAAGACCCGACGGCCCTCCTGGAGTCAGACCCTAAGCCCTGCACATACCCTGATCCCTTCCTCGCAGACCCCTAGCCCTAAACCCTCAAGGCCAGGAGAAATCCATTTGTGAAAAATCCGAAGAGGCCAAGCAACATGCTCGTTGTTTTTGCCTTTGTCGGTCTCACCTCACGCCAACCTGCAGCGATGTCGGGGTGGGCGAGCCCGAAACGCGTTTTCAACCCCCCTAACCCCGAGACTATGTTGTAAGCAGCGGGTACGAAGCTTTTGATTAGGGTTTAGGGTTTAGGGTTTAGGGTTTAGGGTTTAAGGGTTTAAGGGTTTAGGGTTGCCCAGCCTGTCGTCTTTGGGATGCGTCGGTGATCCCTAACTGGATGTTGGGCGACGACAGCGAGAAGAAACGAGCGGGACATCGCCCTGCATGAGAGCATACATTGATCCCTTTAACTATGTTCCGAAAACATCGTATGCAGTACATTAATGAGTCTACTTCTAGTATGTTCTGTTTTTTTCTTTAACACCTGTACTGTACTACGTAGTATACTCTTCTTATAGTACAGCGAATACTGCATACTGCTACAGAGTATACTGTTTCTTTTTAGTGTAGGGTTGAAGATTTAGGGTTTAGGCTGCGATATCGCCTCCCTTTCACTTGAGCTCGGCCAAGGAAATTGCATGACCAATAATATTTGTTTTATCCCTCCGGCTGGCCACGATATGAATCTTCGAAATATTTCTATATCATCGAAAGAAAGAATTATTTCATAACTATTCTCTGATTTTTATTATTTCATAGAAATTCTATATCGGAATATCTTCCGAAAATTTATTCTATAATATTATTTCTTAAACATTTTTAAAATATGTATTTACACTTAAATTTTCTTATTTAGATAGAATTTTCTAATACATACATATTGATCGTCATGATGGATATATTCTTTATTGAATATCAATTTTATTTCGGATTCTCGGCCAATTATAAATTTCTTATATTTCTTACTAATGGATAATGATTTCGATATCTACTAAATATTCTATAATTTTCTTTTATATTATTCTTAGAAATGATGATGGATTAGGAATATAAAATTGGGATTTATTGACGATATTTATTTGGATATTTATTTTCATTTTTTAATATTTTAATCATGATCACAATCCTTCAATCGTATTCAGAGACTTATGAAATGTAAACCAGTAGAGTCAACACCTGTCCCTTTGACCTAACCCTGATACTACAAACCATGAGCCCGTACTCATCCTTAAACAAACCCTATAGGCCGAACACGTTCTCAAGCCCGAAACCCTAAACCTCAAACGCTGAACCCCAAAACCAAACCCTGTT